GATCAGCCCTAAGCTAACATCCATGCCGATCCTCCTCTTTTTGCTGAAGAAGACTGGCCCTGGGCTAACATCCATGCTGATCTTCCTCCACTTTATGTGGGACACCGCTACAGCATGGCCTGACAAGCGGTGCGTCAGTGCACCGGGCCCGGGATCCGAGCCCAGGCCGCCAGCAGCAGAGCGCATGCACTTAACTGCAACACTGCGGGGCCGGCCCCATGTCCAGATTTTTTTGAAAATCCTCCCAAATCTACTCTCTAAATATTTTTTCAGTCCACTTCTTTCCATGCCCATGCCACCGTCATCTCTTGTCTGGAACACAAAAATAACTCCCCACTGGTCTGTAAATATCTAATCTTGCCATCCTCAAACCCCCAGAATAGTTAAGAGGATGTTTGTGGAAGATGAAAATCTAATTGTGTCATCCCCTTGATTAAGACACATCAGTACCTTCTCATTGCTCTGGTCCCAAATCTTGAGCATGCCTTCTAAGGCCTTATCTAACTCAGTCCTTGTTCATCTGTTTCTTTCTGCCTTACTTTCCTCTGAAAGAAGTCTCTTGACTCCTTTTTCAAGTCTCAGATTTGATAGCACATTGGAAAAAAGGCTTTCCTTGACTCTTAATATGAGATTAGGTGAATTCTTATGCGTAAGATCTCATCTTTCCCTTCGGTAGCGTTCATCACACTTAAAATTGTTTGAAGACTACACCTCTTGACATATTTTGAGTTCCACAAGAGCAGGGATCATGCCTGTCTTGTTCATTCTTTTGCCTTGACACCAGCTGAGTGCTTAATAAATATTGATTAAGTGAATATTGAATAAATGAATATATTCAGAGACTGACCTTGCATTCTAACTTTTCAAATGCAACATGACATTTGGAAATACCTGAGAACAATGTGTTTCATGTATTGGTAATTACGTGTTGTAATAAAGTGCAGCAAAGAGAATCTAAAGAGAGCAGTAGTACCTTCTCTCACTTCTTTCTTACACAGTTTACAAATGTCAAATCTGTGTGAGGAATCAGCCGGGAGACTACGTCACAAAAGGCCGTATTATATTCATCAAGTCTTCTTGTTAAAGGCAAAACGATGAAATCTTGTAAAGTGTTCTTGTGCTTCCTAATTCCTCAAGATGCTTTAATATTGCTCTCTGAGATTGGTGTATATGGGGAAAAATTGATCCAAGCAGTTGATTGAGACAAAGATGACATGCTACTTCAATTTACTCATTTAAAATCATCTTTGTTAATTTTT